TGGTTTGAAGCTCGACCACTATGAGGAGAGGGAGAGAGAGTGGAGGTCAAAGAAAGAGACCGCCAAGATAGATATGAAGGAAGAAATTAGAAAAGTCCTGAGGTCGCCGGGTTGAGTTACGAAGACCTGTGCATTCATCCGAATTTGAACCTCCCGGAAGGGTTCAAGGTGCCAAAATTCGACATCTTTGGAGGAACAGAGATCCCCTTAGCACACCTGAGGGCCTACTGTGACCAACTTGTGAGAGTTGGGAGAGACGAAGCTTTGATAATGCGGCTTTTTAGCCGAAGTTTGAGCGGAGAGGCTCTAGAGTTATTTACGTCTGATGAAACAAGACAGTGGTCTTGTTGGAATGCGCTGGCTAAGGACTTCATCGAACGATTCGCCTACAATGTGGAGATCGTTCCTGACCGTTACTCCTTGGAGAAAATGAAGCAGAAGCCAACCGAAAGTTACAGAGAATTTGCATATAGATGGCGGAAGGAGGCAGCTAGAGTTAAACCTGCTATGTTGGAGAAGGAAATCGTCGAAGTGTTTGTGCGGGTGCAAGAGCCCGAATATTATGACAGAATCATGTTGCTCGTTGGAGCAAAATTTGTCGAGATAATCAAGGTAGATGAGACTATCGAAGATGGATTGAGAACCGGGAAGATTGCCCGTGTTGCTGCCTCCCCGGATCTTCGGGTTTGTTGAAGAAGAAAAGAGAGGATGTCTCATCTATCTCCTATGAGGGGAAGAAGACCCCAAGGAAAACCTCATCATACCAAAGTCGTTCTCGACCTTCACAGAGTTCGTACCCGGCTTGTTATACACAGGCTGATTACCAAAATAATCATCCCCCCAGTTATCAAAATACCCCTCCTCCCATTTACCAAACTCCCCCTACTATTTATCAAACTCCCGCTCTAATTTACCAAACTCCACCTCATCACTAACCGAAACGTCGCCCCCAACTGTGCCAATGTTCAGACAAATTACCAAACTCATCCCCCGATGTACCAAACCCCAGCTCCACTTTACCAAAATACCCCCTTGAACTACCAAGCTTCACAACCAAATTATCAAACCAACTCATATCCCAGATATCAACCCCCCGTCTGAATGCTCCAAATTATCGCCAAAAGCCTCCCCCTCAACAAGGCAATTACGATCCCTCCCGTCCTAGATTTAAGAAGAAGCCTGCTAGAGCTTTCACTCCGCTCATTGAAAGCCGAACAAAGTTGTTCGAGCGATTAACTGCGGCAGGATATATTCATCCAGTGGGGCCCAAGCCGGTTGACACTAGCTCAAAGTTTTACAGACCTGATCAGAGGTCTGATCAGAGGTGCGCGTATCACTCTAATAGTATTGGTCATGATACAGAGGACTGTATAACCTGAAGCATATGATCCAAAACCTAATTGACCAGAACGTGGTCTCTCTTCAGACAGTCGTGCCCAATGTCAATAGCAATCCTTTACCAAATCATGGAGGCGCTACTATCAATATGATAAAGACAGATGATGACTGGTGTGTGGCGAAGACAATAGTTTCGATTGCTCCTGATGAACTGGAAAGGGCTGTAGCTTTGTTGATCATCAGACAGAAGAAAGAGTTTGTGATTCTGACACCCGAGAAGGCTGTAGCCTTGGTACCACGGAAAACTCTTACCCAACCAAAGTTTGTGATTTAAACGGCTGCCACCCAAGGTATGACCAGATCCGGCAGGTGCTACACACCTGAAGAATTAGCTCAAGGGGGGCAGAAGAAGGATCAGACTAAAGGCCGATTAGTGAAGCTGAAGCTGAAGAGTTCTCAAAGAAGATGCAGCCGAAAGATTATTCAATTGTGAAGTATTTAGAGAAGACACCAGCTCAGATTTCTGTGTGGGTTTATTGATGAGTTCACAGTTGCATAGACAGGCTTTGATGAGAGCTTTGGATGACACTTATGTGCCTGTGGGTACTAACAGCGACAATCTAGCAGCCATGATACACCAGGTCATTCGGAGACATCGAATCAGCTTTTGTGACAAAGAGCTGCCCTTTGAAGGGAGGATGTACAACAAAGCTCTGCATGTCACCATCAAGTGCCGGGAAAAAGTTATAAATCCTGTTTTGATCAACGATGGGTCCGGTCTCAACATATGTCCACTTTCGACTCTCAAGCAGCTGAAATTCGACTTGGGAAAGGTTCAACAAATCCAGGTCAATGTGAGAGCTTTTGATGGAGTGCAAAGAGACACGATAGGGGCAGTAAATTTGGATGTTCAGATGGGCCTGCAGAATTCAATTTGGAGTTTCAGGTGTTGGACATCAATACCAGCTACAATTTACTTCTGGGAAGACCGTTAATCCACATGGCTGGGGCTGTGCCTTCTACCCTTCACCAATTGATGAAATTTGTTTCGAAGGATAGGAATTGGTTATTCATGGTGAGGGGAGTCATTCCGATGGGTATGCGCCGGTCGTTCACGAGGTTTTTCGAGGTTGTGATTTCTACACGGCGGAGCTGGTAAATGCCACCGGTGATGATTTGGCTCCACAACCTCCTATCCCTCCGTGTACAAGATGATTGCTACCGTCATGCTCCAGAATGGTTTCGAACCAGGTTTTGGATTGAGGAAGTACTTTCAAGGAATCGTCGAGCCTATCCAAATTCCCTCCAAAGGAGCAAAGTTTGGTTTGGGGTATGTCCCCATAGAGGCTGATGAAGCAGAGATGAAGACTAGGAGTGTTGATCAAGCATTGGCCAGGCCAATTCCTCATCTATACCAGTCATTTCCGGTACAAGAAAATGTCAAAGATGGTGGTCTCGGGGAAGGAATCTGGGGCTATTTGAGGAGATTGATACGGTCATCGAGGAAAAGGCTGGAACATCAAGCATCTGTGACGCAGAACCTGATGAGCAATTGCAGAACTGGACCGCCACACCACTCCTGATTTCCCGCACATCTGGGTAGAAAGGACATGTGTTTTTGTTTATTTTTAAAACGGTGGTAGTCCGGAAGAGGCCCGAGACCCACCCATTATGCAATTGTTATTTGTTTGAAACTTTTAAATTCTCTTGTGATGTTTTAAAAAAAAGGCAAAATGGCTCTCGGCCATGGCCAAAGTTTGTGCTTGTCTTTCAATCTAAATGAAAAGCTCTTTTATTGAAAATGTGTTTATTTATCTGTTTATATTTTACTTTCCTAGCTTTGTTTATTTATGATTTCAGTAATATTAATTTAAAACCTGCCAATGTCATGTCATGTCATGAATCGAGTGAACGAAATGAAGTAGGTGATGACAAATGTAAGAATACGAAGAAGAAAATGAGGTACCCGAACATGTTGCCGAAGAATTTCGACAATTCGTGAATCAACACAAGCCAAATCTTGAAGAAACTGAAACTATGAATCTCGGAGATGAGGAATGCGTTAAAGAAGTCAAAATCAGTGTCCATCTGACTGAATCCCAAAGAAGAGACCTGGTTCATTTGCTCAGGGAATACATTGATGTATTTGCCTGGTCTTATAGAGATATGTCAGGATTGAGTACGAATATGGTGTCCCATAAGTTGCCAATCAATCCAGATTTCAGTCCAGTAAAATAAAAGACTCGGAAGTTTAAACCTGAGTTGAGTTAAAGATCAAAAAGGAGATTACAAAGCAGATCGAGTCCCAAGTAGTGGAAGTGACGCAGTATCCGACTTGGTTAGCTAATGTTGTTCCAGTTGCCAAGAAAGGCGGAAAAATCAGAATTTGTGTTGACTACAGAGATCTCAACAAAGCTAGCCCGAAAGATAATTTTCCATTGCCAAACATTCACATCCTCATTGATAACTGTGCTAAGCATGAGATGTAATCGTTTGTGGATTGTTATGCGGGTTATCACCAGATCCTGATGGATGAAGAAGATGCAGAAAAGACAGCTTTCATCACGCCCTGGGGTGTATATCATTATCGAGGGATGCCTTTTGGTCTCAAGAATACTGGTGCTACTTACATGAGGGCTATGACGACCATCTTTCACGACATGATTCACAATGAGATCGAGGTGTATGTAGATGATGTCATAATCAAGTCCCGCGAGAGTTCGGATCACTTGACTCACTTAAGAAAATTGTTTGATCGTCTGCGTCGATACAATTTGAAGTTCAATCCCGCTAAATGTGCTTTTGGGGTGCCAGCTGGCAAGTTGTTGGGATTTATAATCAATAGAAGGGGCATTGAGCTTGACCCTTCCAAGATCAAGGCGATCCAAGAATTACCTCCTCCGAAGACCAAGAAAGAGGTGATGAGTTTCTTAGGAAAGTTGAACTACATCAGCCGGTTCATAGCTCAATCCACCGTGGTGTGTGAGCCCATCTTTAAGTTATTGAAAAAAGATGCCTCAACCAAGTGGACCTGAGAATGTCAAACTGCTTTCGATGCCATCAAGGACTATTTGTCCAATCCACCGGTGTTGGTTCCTCCACGAGAAAGGAGTCCATTATTGTTATATTTGTCGATCTCGGATAATGCATTGGGATGCGTGCTTGGTCAACATGATGAGACTAGGAAGAAGGAGCGAGCCATTTATTACTTGAGTAAAAAGTTCACTCCATATGAGGCTCGTTACACTCTTTTGGAGAGAACATGTTGTGTTTTAACTTGGATCGCTCAAAAGTTGAGACATTATTTGTTTTTTTATACCACGTACCTTATCTCCAGGATGGATCCGTTGAAGTATTTTCCAGAAAGCAATGTCGACCGGGAAGTTGGCTAAATGGCAAATGCTTTTGAGTGAGTTTGACATTGTGTATGTGACTCAGAAGGCGAAAAAGGCACAAACCTTGGCTGATAATCTATCAGAGAATTCGGTTGATGAAGAGTATGAACCGCTCAAGACTTATTTCCCGATGAAGAAATAGCATTTGTGGGTGAGGATATTTCTGGAGCGTACCCTGGTTGGAGAGTGTTCTTTGATGGAGCGGCGAATCATCAAGAGAAAGGAATCGGAGCGGTCTTAGTGTCAGAAACCGGTCAACATTATCATATGGCGGCTAAACTCCGATTTGAATACACGAACAACATGGCTGAATATGAAGCTTGCATCATCGGTCTGAAGATGACAATTGATATGAATGTTCATGAGTTGTTGGTTATTGGTGATTCAAATTTGCTGATTCATCAGGTTCAAGGGGAATGGGCCGTGAAAAACCCAAAGATCACACCGTATGTGCGGTATATACAGAAGTTGTGCAAGAGATTTCGCAAGATTGAGTTCATACATACTCTCAGGACACAGAATGAGTTGGCTGATGCTCTTGCCACCATCGCATCAATGATTAAGCATCAGGATACAAGTTATATTAATCCAGTGGATATAGAGGTGAAAGAACAGCATGTTCATTGTTCACACGTCGAAGCAGAACCTGATGGTTTGCCTTGGTATTTTGACATCAAGAAGAATTTAGAGGACGGGACTTATCCTGAGAATGCAACGTTCAACCAGAAGAATTCGATACGCCGTATGGCCCTCAGTTTCTTTGCAAGTGAGGAAATCATTTATATGAGCACTCCAGATTTAGGTCTTCTCAGATGTGTCGATGCTAGTGAAGCTGCAAAGCTTCTGAAACAAATACATGTTGGAACTTGTGGTACTCACATGAATGGACTCACTTTGGCAAGGAAGATCCTCCGAGCCGGATATTTTTGGATGATTATGGAACACGATTGTTGCAAGTTTGTGCAAAAATGTCATAAATGTCAGGTACATGGTGATTTGATTCGAGTTCCGCCTCACGAACTTAATGATATGAGTTCACCCTGGCCATTCGTAGCTTAGGGCATGGATATCATTGGTCCAATAGAGCCAGCTGCCTCTAACGGACACAGATTCATTTTGGTTGCCACTGACTACTTCACCAAGTGGGTGGAAGCAGCTTCGTACAAGTCGGTAACCAAGAAGGTTGTAGCTAATTTTGTTCGCAACAACTTGATATGTAGGTTTGGAGTACCAGAATCCATTATTACTGATAACGGAGCGAATCTTAACAGTCACTTGATGAGAGAGATATGTGAACAATTCAAGATTACTCACCGGAATTCCACCGCCTATCATTCCCAAATGAACGGAGCTGTAGAAGCCGCCAACAAGAACATAAAGAAGATTTTGAGGAAGATGATTGAAAATCGCAGAGGTTGGCACGAGATGTTGTCATATGCTTTGTTGGGTTACCGAACAACTGTCAGAACATCAGTTGGAGCTACTCCATATTTGCTAGTATATGGAACAGAGACAGTTATACCTGCAGAAGTTGAAATACCTTCATTGAGAATCATCCAAGAAGCTTAATTGAATGATGCTGAATGGGTTCGCAAGCGGATTGACCAGTTAACCTTGATCGATGAGAAGAGAATGGTTGCGGTTTGTCATGGTCGACTTTATCGACAGAGGATGATCTGTGCTTTCCACAAGAAAGTAAGATCCAGAACATTCGAAATTGGTCAGTTAGTCCTTAAACGCATTTTCCCTCATCAGGATGAGTACAAAGGGAAATTTGCACCAAATTGGCAAGGACTCTACATGGTTCGCAAAGTGTTACCTGGAGGTGCCCTAGTCCTGTCGGAGATGGATGACACTGAATGACCGAAACCGATCAACTCAGATGCTGTCAAGAGATACTATGTGTGAAGTTTTAGTTTGTATTTTCTGTCATTCCCTTGTAATTGTTCCATTTGCTTGTAATCGTTTCGTTCAAAATATTTCCTTTTGTAAGGAACTACGTTTGACCTGAATTCTCAAGAATGAGATACGTAGGCGGCTTATGTCGGCCTCGGTCACCCCCTTTTACCTCTTTTAATATTTCCTTGTATTTGAACTACGTTCGACTTGAATTCTCAAGAATGAGATACGTAGGCGGCCTATGTTGGCCTCGGTCGGTTTCTTTGTAAATTTCCTATTTTTGTTAGTTCTCGAGGGGAAACTACGTTTGACCTGATTCCTGCCTCAACGTGATACGTAGGCGCCACAAGGGTTCGGTCATATTTCTCGTAAGATTTCTATTTCTTTTTACAATAGAAACTGGGACAGAATTTTTGAGAGGGACTCAAAAAATTCTCGAGAAGAAGATCTTTCCAACAAAGTCAAGACTGAAGTTACTTTATGATTTGCAACTGGGACATAATTTTTGAGAAGATCTCAAAAATTCCGTGATGGCTCACCGACGGTTAAAGATAAGGCAAGACAGTTAACTAGGATAGAAATTTTTGAGGATGACCTCAAAAATTTCAATAATGTTAAGCGAGAGTTTAGAGAAACTTTGAATACTTCCCAACATGTGATCAGACAGATCTCAAAACACCAACTCTGAATGACGTTCATTAAACTTGACGTGACATGACACACTTGGCAGTGACTTTTTCCAAACATTACTTTAAAAACCTATTTTCCTTAAAAACTTTTCCTTTATGTTTCAATTATATTTGCATAAAAAAAATGTTTTGTCTTATCTATTAAGAAACGGGAGATCAGAGAAATCAACCGAAGATAGCAAGAAAAGAAGCAGACAATCGAAGAGATCGACACAGATCAATTCATTTTTTTTAAACTAACGTTTTTTCTGTGGACGCAGGTCTATAAGCTTTCCTCAAGATCGACATATTCCACCATTCAATGAATATGGAGAAGTCAAAGGGGCAAAGAGCTCCCCAAAATTGACAATTTTACTGTGGATGCATGAAATATTTTATGTTGTTTATATCAAAGATTTTGGAATATGAATAGCATTATTTCATTCAATTCCCAACAAGGCGAAGTCCATAATGAACGTGCAACTATGTTCAGAGATGGGACAAATGAAAATCACAAAGAGAGCAATATTATTATTTCCCAGCAATTAGAGATACCTGGAAAACATTTATCTGTGTTATATTATCAGATATGATAATATTCCTACCTTGAAGGTTATTTATATCGTATTGTCGAATGAGACGATACTACTACCCGAAGAGTCATTTATATCGTATTGTCAAATGAGATGATACCACTACTCCGATGGTCATTTTTATTTATATTGTCGAATGAGACGATACCACTACCCGGAGAGTCATTTATATCATATTGTCAAATGAGATGATACCACTACTCCGAGGGTCATGTTTATTGTATTGTCGATTTAGACGATACCGCCATCTAAAAGATACCCAGAAGATCACATATGTTGCTCGGTGAAACATTATCTTCATTTGGTATCAGGGAGGCATCATCAGAAGAAATCATGCATCGCGAGAAAAGGTTCATGCATAGCAAGAGAAAGAAATAATGTATCGCGGAAAAGTCATGCATCGCGAAGAAATCATGCATTGCAAAAGAAAGAAGTCCTGCATTAGAAAGAAGTCATACATTGCAAGAGAAAGAAATCATGCATCGCGAAGAAGTCATGCATTGCAAAAGAAAGAAGTCATGCATCGCGGAGAAGTTATGCATAACAAGAGAAAAAAATCATGCATCGCGAAGAAGTCATGCATTGCCAGAGGAGAAGTCATGCATAGCAAGAAAAGAGATTCATGTATTACAAGAGAAGAAAAGAGATTCATGTATTACAAGATAAAGAAACCATGCATTGCAAGAGAAAGAAGTCATGCATAGCAAGAGAAAGAAGTCATGCATCGCGGAGAAGCCATGCATATCAAGAGAAGACTCATGCATCGCGGAAAAATGATTCATGCATTGCAATAGAAGATTCATGCATCGCGAAAAGAGATTCACATCGCGGGAAAAAGATTCACTAAGATTCGCCTATCAAAAGAAAATTGACATAGGATGCATCATTTTTCTTTGCAACAACGACATCAAAAGAACTATCAACATATTACATCAGCCTATTTTTATTACTTTTGCATCAAAGGAAGGGTACATTGAAGATTATATTGCAAATATAAGACACAAATTTTATTTGTTTCACGTCAAACTCGATAGAGTTGACGTCAAATGTTCAAGGAGAACAATTAAGTGTCAATCTGGTAAAAGACACTGTCTCCAATTTGAATTGCATTTTTTATGCTACTGAGTTTTATCTCAATCTTTGTCGAGAGCATCCGAAATGATGAATTCCCCAAAACAAACCACAGATGTGGACGACATCAAAAAGGATGCAACACAACATGGAACTTTTCCTTAGCAGCGAACTGAGACATAGTCCAAAGAGGAGTGTCAAACTCTCAGGATGCGACCAGAGGAGCGACTTTCACCACAATCAAACCACACCCTTATCAGAAGGCATGTAGGTTTTATTTAGATTTGTCAGTTCCTATTTTGGCATCCGAAAATTTTTGGGTTCACCGGAAGCAATTTTCCAATCTGAGTGACAATGCACCAAGAGCTTTGGAAATTATATCCGTGTAAGTTCTTATTTATGGATGTGAAGCATGCCACATTCATGGCTAAGAGGTTGCAAGCCTCATTTTCATACTCGACTTACCTTGTCGCTTTTTCAGAACCAAATGTGATCTAACATAATGGATTTCTTTTTCAACCGATTGAGTCGAACTACAAGCAGTCTGATTCCCCAAGTTGAGGGATATGTAGGCAAGCTCAATGTCGAAAACTCGGCTGTATTCCAACATTCGCTCTTACATCCTATTCTCGAGCATCCCGATCTCTTCATAATCCGATACCAAGATGACTTCTAAATTCTTTCATAATCGTGCGTTAAATCAAACGTATTGAACTACAAATGCCCTGAATTCTCATATAGCCTGAGATATGTAGGAAACCTGATACCGGGGTCCGGCCGTAATTCTTAAAGTCCGTACCAAAATCTCTTGTCTAATAGATGAAGATGTGGTCGGTCAAAATTGGATTCGTCAATTTCATTTGCCTCGAATTTCTTTCATCAATCCAAGTCAAACGAGGGACAGTTGTTAACACCCAATTTTGACCCTCCACAATATAAATTAATCATTTCGAGCTTCTCCAATTTCAAACGATTTAAAATTATTAGTTTTATAAAATTTCTAAAAAAATAAAATAATAATGAAAATAAATAAATAATAATATAGTTTGCAAGATTTTTAAATAGTTTGACACTTTTCATAAATCTTAGATGATATATATGTTTTAAATAATTAAGTATATAATTAGTATATTTTATGATTATTCGAAAATTGTCTAAAAAAAAAAAAGATTTTATATTTTAAATATTAGGGATGGTTATAATTTTGAATTAATGAGTTTATGAAATTCAAAATACTTTCAAGCAATGTTTAAAGTAATTTTATCATTTTTTAAATAAATATGTATATTTTTGCAATCACGTTATTTTATAAATATTTGAAAATCATCACAAAAGATTTTACATTTTAGTTAAATATTTTATTAATTTACTTTAAGTTATGGTTATAATTTTGAGTTAATTAGTTTTGTAATTGAATTAATTAGTTTATAATTAAGTTAATTATTTTTTATTTCGTTAAGATTAAGAAGCTCATCAATTAATTCATTTTGTCTAAGTCTTAACCAATTCATCGATTAAATTCGATTCGATTACAATCTAGATTTAGTTGAACTTTATTTCCTAAACAATTTTCAGCCAATTAAAAGGCCAAATTTTGGGCCTCTGTTTTTTTTTTCTTTTTCAATTCGCAGCCTAGTACTCGAACTGGCCCAATTCCTTCAGCAAAAGAAACCCAGTACCAAAATCCTCATCAGCAACCCATTCCAATTTACATCAGCCCATTCCCTTACATTTCAGTACCAAAAAGATCTGATCCAACAATTCCATCAACATACATCAGCATATACATACACATACCAAACCGACCCAACTTCTTCTTCTCCCCTAC